AATAATAATAATAATAATAATAATAATAATAATAATAATAATAATAAAGTCCTGACATCTGCTATCTGGTGGCCAAGGTTTTTAGACTTCCAGTTTTTACACATCTTTTTCTCTTTCTCTGTCTGTAACTTTTGATTCTGGAGAAGAACGAGGACTTTCTACTGTGTACTTTGATAATATAGTATTAAGAATGAGGATTGCCGTTCATATCATTATTTTCTATTGGTCCTACTGGAGAACTGAAAAAGAATATGTTCTTATTGCTGGTCATTCCTGTAATGGCAGAACCACGTAGATGCAGTCTAGATCCTGGAAGGGAGGCAAGGCATCTTCCCTTGAGGAAGGAAGGGATGTCTTAGGCAAGGAGTCATTACTATTAATTTCATTCACTCATTTATTGCCATTAGAAGTCACTCTGTAACTTGATTTCCTGAAGAAGTGACTTCATCATCTTATGTTAAATATATTTGCCAATTAAATTTGGGCTTTTCTTACTAACGGAAGGCAGATAATCATCACTGTGAAATATTTTCTCATGTGACAACGATTTAGTAGAATAATGCTTTAATCACTATGCCTGTCATCTCACGTCACCTGTTCCTAGGAAACAGAGCAGGTAAGCATTATAGATCAAAGACAGGCAAGGAATACCAGAGTCTTTCAGCACCTTCCTGCAGGCATCTGTATGTCGAGGCTATGGATTAGACACTAGAAAAGTTATTTTGAGATGTTCCTGGAAATTCCAAATCAATTTCTTTCTTTTTCCTTATGTAATGAAGTCCTGGAGTAACCAAATTGAAAGTCAACATAAGGAACATACATATTGTGATATTCTTGATCCCTCTGGCTCCTCCAATTCTTTCTCCTGTTGAGCAGAGTTCGCTGAATTTCACCTAATATTTGGCTTTGGATCTTTGCTGCATGCCTCTGTTTCTATCAGTTGATAGATAAAGCTTCTCTAATGACAATTGGGTTAGACAACAATCTATGAGTATGGCAGAATATCATTAGACATCATTTCATTGACTTTTTTTCCAGTTGTGTTTGGTTCTATCCTAAGTCTCTTGGCCAACTAGCCTCTGATTTCTGGTCCCCCAGCAAATGACAGGAATGGGCTCCTTCTGGTTGCATGAGTCACAAGGTGGAAACTCATAGAATCAACTGACCTGAACTCAAGGGCTCACACAGACTGAACCTAGGGAGCATGGGCCTGACCTAGGCCCTCTGTATGTATGTTATAATTGTGTAGCTTTGTGTTTTTGTGAAACTCCTAGCAGAGAGAGCCGAGGCTGCTTCTGATGCTTTCACCTGCTTTTGGGACCCCTGTCCTTCCACTGGGCTGTCATTGTCCAGCCTTAAAATGAGGATAGGTGCTTAGTAGTGTTGCAATTTGATATGCCATGTTTGGTTGATATCCTTGGGCCTGCCTTTTTCTGAAAGGACACAGAGGAGGAGTGGACGGGGAAAGAGTAGGTGGGGAGGAAGAATAAAGGAGGTGGGGGCAAAGGGATGGAGGGGAAACTGCAGTTGGGATGATTATATAGGAGAGAATAAATTAATAAAGAAATGGAACCTATATGAGGACCTTGTACAGGATGTAGTAGTGATAGAGAGATTGGTCCTTGATAGCCAGAGTGAGAATGTTACATAAAAAACCCATGTGAACCTACCTGTTCCATCCTAACTTATATTAAAAAGCCATAATTTAGAAAGGTCCACCAAAAAAAAAAAAAAAGAAGAAGAAGAGATACCTACCTCTTCCAGAAGAGATCCACAGTGGGCTGACTGAGAAGCTAGTGTTAAAGGCATGGGAAATAAGAAAAGACACAACTCCTAAGAAAACTGAGTGAGAAGGGGAGTGCTGGACCATTCTTTCCAGCGCTTTGCTGTGGTCTTTGCAGGGGATGCCTTCCTTCAGGTGTGCAGGTGGTCTCTCACAGAACTGAACGAACACACACACTGTTCTTCCTAACAACTGTCAGGCCCAGATCTGACCTGGGTAGATGAAAATGAAGGTTCTGGGGTTGGAATCCAGTTGCCCTGGTATGAAGAAGAAGAGCTGTGTGTGTGTGTGTGTGTGTGTGTGTGTGTGTGTTTGTGTTTGGCTTTAAATATTCATTCTCTTACTGTCTCTGGAGTCTTCCTTCCCCCTTTTCAGCCTGTTTTCCTCACTGGGACTACAGAGAGTAAGGGCAGCAGAGGTAACAAAGCTGTTAAGAGCACTGGATGCTCTTCCAGAGGATGTGACTTTGATCTCTAGTACCCATGTGACTGCTCATAACCATCTGTAACTCCAGTTGCAGGGATCTGATGCCTCTTTCTTGTGCTATGGGCACCCAGCATGCCTGTGGTGCACAGACATGAATGCAGGCATATAATAACATTAAAATAAAACTTTAAAGAAATATTGAGACCAACAACTGTGGGCTTTGCCATCAGAGAGGGGAGAAGGCACAGCAGATATTCCAAAGCAGGGGTCCTCCCTACCTGTTTGCTATCATCTCCCCACACCATTCCATATCTTCCTCAGGTACTGTACCTTTCAGATTGACATCTAGGATGGTCTGTCTGGGAATGACCCCTTTGACATCAATGACAGCAGCGGTGTGGATGACCACAGAGATGCCCTGGCAGGCTCTTCTCAGGCACGGGGCATCCAGAATGTCTCCCTCAAGCACTGTCACCTTGGTTTTTGTCTGCAGCTCTGTGGAAGACAAAGTAGGTCCCTGGGAAGCTCTCTGCATGGGATGTTTCAGGTGACAGTCACCTAGACCTTCAAGAGCAGTCATAGTGGGAAGACACTGGGGAGGAGTCCTTTCTACTGAAGGAACAATAAATGCACAAAAATCAGAAGGTAGCATTTGTAGGGAAGGCGGAACCATCTATTTCCACCCCAGCCCTTTGTAGAAAATGAATATGAGCAGTACAATGCCATTTGTGCCCTGCACATAAAAAAGTTACGGGGAATTCATACATTCATTAAATTGATTAGAGCAGTGGTGGCAGTCGATTGTAAGGAGGAAGACTTAGGAATTCACTGATAGCGAGTGGGGCCTCACGTGTGGGTTTGAGGAGAAGCAGAGGCAGTGTTGTGCCTTGGGAAGCTGAAGCAACAGTCTCAGGTTGTAAACTGCACAGGTGTGAAGACATGAGAGAAATCTGGGCCAGCAACAGGTTAATCAGATTGTGTCCCCCAGAGTTCCTGTCGGGAGGACCCAGCAGAGAGACACAAGAATGGAAATTTCAGCCCTGCCCCTGTTAGGTCTTCATTTCTGGGTCTGAGCAGAATACAAATGAAGACTTGGATAAATTACAGAGAAAAAAATGGAACCTCCGTTAGAGAACTCAGAATGGATTTTGGTGAATATCGGTCAGTGTATAGTAGATAACAGAAGTGTACACTGATGCTGCAAAGAAGTCAGCCTGTAAAAAGACCTATGTTGCAGACATGAAATCAGGGCAGGTTATAAATCAGTATCTTAAGGCTTCTCTGAAGTCCACAGGATGTCACTGGATATCATGTTGTCAGCTAAATTATCTCACAAAATGGGCATTGTGACACATGCAATCTACACCAGTTCCTGACACTGTCCTCGTGGCTCGGCTTCTTTTTGCTATGTTCTCTGCAGGGTTATCTTGAGGGGGTGATGATAGCACAGCCGGGAAACTGCAGAGGTTGCTCTCGCCCCAAGGACTGCAATATCAACAAAGAAGAATGCACTGCTCCAGGAAAGCCAACAGCCATCTTCTTTGTGAAGATGAAGAACAGAGAGCATACAAAAGGCACTGGAGAAATCCCAGTCAGGCATCTGTGGCCCTGCTGGCCCTTGCCTGATTCTGCTCTTCATACTGTATGTTATGTCTGATTCAGTCTCTCATTCTCTGTCCCCTCTGTCTCTCTTTCACTCACAGATTCAACTTTTTATTCCAAATCCGAGGGGAGGGAGAATGCTAAATGGCTTTCCTCTGTCAAACTAAGTAAGAAAGGAACAAACAACCAGACCCAGCGGAAGTAGGAAAGGCAGAGACCCACTGCTGAGGTATCTAACCCTTGCTGATGTTGTATAAATGAGTCTATGGTAGTAGCACATTAACAAAAAAAAAAAAAAAAAAAAAAAAAGAGCACAGATTTCCAAACGGAATCCACATCTGTTAGACAAGGAGCCCTGCTAATGCCTGGACAGCATTCACAACAGTCACACAAGCCGAGCTTCTGGCTTACTTACTAGAGAATTCCTCCTTGGTTTCTGGTCTGAAGACCTTGTCCAGAGCCCTGATCTCCTGCAGGTCTTTCTCCTGCACCAACATCTGGATGATCTTCTGGCCCAGAAACCCACCTGCTCCTGTCACCAGGCAGCTCCACCCTGGCATGGTCAATGCTGGAAGCAGATTATAGTGGGAGCAGGTGTGGTGCTGAGTGACCCTGGAAAGGGCTAGAAAAAGAGGACCAATAAAAACAGTTTGCCAGTAATACCTTGTATTCAATCCATGTGATTTTTTGCAAACATGCTATGTCTCCACCAGTACCAATAAAATAAATAAAATAAAATAAAATAAAATAAAATAAAATAAAAAAAAATAAAAACCAACCTGTTAGATTGTTCAAGATCGGATGAAAAAGGCTGGATGCTGGTCTCGTCCTCGGCCCTCAGATCAGGTCCTGAGTTTTATGCTTTTATCTCTTGACTCATGTCTGCTTTGTAGTCATTATTTTTTTTTTCATAATCCCTCCTCCCCACTGATTCATAAATATTTTGCCCTTTATTCTTGACACAGGAAGAAAAGCCAGCTTCAAGGCTACATTGTGATAAAGACTATATTTTGTTTGGACATGCACAAAGGAGCAATAGACATAAAATGTTAAAGGACTTTTTTTTTTTTAATGAGGGAAATGGTGGTTCATGCCTTTAATCCCAACGCTCTGGAAGAAGAGCCAGGTGGATCTCTGTGAGTTCATGGCCAGCCTGGTCTACATAATGAGCTCCTGGATAGCCAGAGCTATATAGTGAGACCTTGTCTCAAAAACAAACAAACAAAAACCTCAAAATGTAAACAAACAAAAAAAGAATTAGAACTTTGCTAGATTGCATCTAAGGATAATTAAATTAATGTTTTACCAGAATTTGAATTTATTTCATAAATACCTATAATGCAATCCAGTAATAATTTATTGAAGATTCTTTGATATACATTACTAAGAAATGAAGTCATACAAATAGTTATAAATTAACAGACTTTATTAGAAAGTACAAGCACAGGCCTACTTTTCTGGAGGCCACCCAGGCTCAGGGATCCTAGGTAAGAACCTGCCCTATGCCCTATGACCTCCCACTCACCTTGAAGCACACCTAACCGCCATAAACTGCATCCCATTCCCTGGGGTTCATATTCTTGCCTACAAATTTGGTAAAAGACCTCTGCTTTGTCACATGCCACACTGGTTCTAAGAACCCCAGAGGCAATGTTGGCACCCAAAACCCCAGAGGTTATGCAGGCCACAAAACCCCCCAGTGGAGACAGCCTACTGGGCCTGAAAACTCACTGATGACCAGAAATCTAGGGCACTCAGGTCAGAAGACCAGATAGGAAACAGATACCAAGGGAAAGAAATATCCAAAAACAAAGATAAGCTCAGAAACCACCACGAAAACCTATAACCCCCAAATCCAGCTAACAAGAAGTTAGCATAAGAACACAACCAATAACAGGCAGGGAAATATGATACCACCAGAGCCCAGCTGTCCAAGTACAAGAAGTCCTGGACATTCCAACACAGATGGAGCACAAGAAAATGGCCTCAAATCCAATCTTATGAAGATGATAGATGCCTTTAAGAGGAAATGAATACATCCCTTAAAGAAATGCAGGAAAGTACATCAAACAGATGAAGGAAATAAATAAAGCTGTTCAAGACCTGAAAATGGAAATAGAAGCAATAAAGCAAAAACAAACTAAGAGAATCCTGGAGATGGGAAATGTAGGTAAGTTAACAGGAATTACAGACACAAGCATCACCAACAGAATACAAGAGATGGAAGAAAGAATCATAAGCACAGAAAATATTATAGAAGAAAATGATACATTGGTCAAAGAAAATCTTAAATTTAAAAAGTTCCTGACACAAAACACAGAGGAAATCTGGGACACTATGAAAAACCAAACCTCAGAATAACAGGAATAGAAGAAGAAGATTCCCACCTCCAAGGCCCAGAAAATATTTTCAACAAAATCAAAGAAGAAAATTTCCCTGAACTAATATAAGAGATGCCCATAAATATACAAAAAAGTACAAGTGTGGTGACTACCCAATTCCAAATCTAGGATATGGTAACTACTGATAGACCCAAAACAATGTGTAAGTTTGAAGGTGGTAAGTCATAATATTGACTGAAGAGGTGAAGGCTAGCTTCAAGGATTACATAACCTTGGAGTTTGATCTTGACCTGTTGAAACAGTTGGAAAAAAAAAAACAAGAAAGAAAAAATCAGAGAAATGAGTTCATAGCTGTGGGGATGTGCTATGCCGCTGTTTCAAGAATTCTGAGAACCAAGGGGATTGCTTTTTAACTTGAAGAGTAATTCTCAGTAAAGACTTAGCTTTTCTGTCAACAAAACAGCCAACAGTTCACACAAAGGCCTGGAGTTCAGGCCTTTGAGAGTGTGAATAGATAAACCCCCAGGTGTGATGCCAGAGTCTGTCTTGTGCAGTAAGCACATCCGAAGGAAAACACCACCTTTGGCACATTTTCTCTTGCCTCTGGCTCTAAATGACCCAAAATGTCCATCCTGGTTTGCAAACTTTAGGAACTTGCAATGGTGGCACTTTCATTCATTAAATAATGCATCTGGATTCCTCAATCTCATATTTTATTTCTTCTGAGACCTTTGCCCTCCCAGTGGAAAGACATCATTAAAAGAAGCAAGTAAGCAACATTCAGCTTATCATGTGACTGATGTTGCTGATATTGCTACTACTGCTTTCTGAGAGTCTGTCACATTCCAGCGTTAGACCACTAACCTTCTTTATTATATTTTCATGTCAAGAAGGCACAAAAAAGTGAAGCTTTATTAACCAAGAAGCTTAGGTAGTCTGGGTTGCACATAGAAGCTGCTCACAATGGTAATATGGAAAACAGTGCCGAGTGCAGTTCATGAGACTTGTGGAATTGTTTTTCCTCTTCTTAAACTCCTCGGTAATTTTTGAAGATTATATCCCTGCCCTATTGTCCTAAAGAGACAGTCTTGGGAATAACCCGTCTAGGACAGGTTTTTAGGCCACGGGCCTAGATGGAATAGTCTAAAATTAAAATATTTATTGATTAAAGGAGTAAAGGCTCAAGATAGAATCCTGGACAGACATTTAGAGTCAGAACAGAGGTACCAAGGCCTCCTAAGGAGACTGAACAGGAGGTGGGAGGTGGAGGACAATGAAGATGGTGTGATTCATGGAAGTCAAGGCAACAAAGAAAGCTTTAGGCAGGAGAGATGGTTCAGAGTTTAAGTGTGTATGATGGTCTCCCAGAGGAGCTGAGTTTGTAGCACCCATGTCAGGTGGGTCACAATTACTGTAACTCCAGCTCCAGGCTATCCAATGTCTTCTTGTGGCCTCCTGAATACATGAAGCACACACAAATACACATAATAAAATAAATTTAAAGAATTTAAAAACAATGTCTTTAAGAGGAGAGTGCTGGACATCATAAAGACATCTATTGCAAGGAGACAGGGTGGCTATTGCTTTGGGTGATATCAAGCTCATTAGTTAGAGAAATGCCTTCGAGGAGTTGGGCTAAAATCATTTTGGAAGTTTTCAACAAATTCATCTGAATCTGGAGAAGCAAATGAAAAAGAAGTGAAGGGAATAAACATATACACAATGTGCTACTTAAGAATTTGTACATTGAAGATCTCAGTTAAAAAAAAAAAGCTATTATGCCAGGCATGGTGGTACATGCCTTTAATCTCAGCACTTGGAGAGGCAGATGCAGGTATATATCTGTGAGTTCAAGGCCAGCCTGGTCTACAAAGTGAGTCCAGGACAGCCAAGGCTACAAAGAGAAACCTTGTCTTGGAAAAAAGCAAACAAACAAACAAACAAAAAAAAAAAAACCAAAGAAACAAAAACCAGTAAGAACTATTATGTTTTTATCATGTAGCTTTTAAACCTGAACTATTCGTTTAACTAATCTCTAGCTCCTAGTAGTGGTAGGCGGTCAAACTGAATCATAGAGAATATGCATTGAACACAAAGAGATGAGTGTTGGCTTTGGGAACAGCATGTTCGTTGGTAACTTGATAACAATTTTCAGGAGAAGTTGCACTGCAAGACTAGACTGTATTGGATGTGTCCTAGCTGGTTTTAAAATTAATGCAATGCAAATTAGAGCCATCTCAGAGAACCTTTGACTGGAAAAATACCTTTATATGATTTGGCTTTAACAGCATGGTGTCCTCTGTTGCTTAGCAGATTTGAGCTCAAAACCAACCACATGATTTGCCAGCTGTGAAAATCTGGGGCAAGTTAATTATCTCAGCTTCACTTTCCTCAGCTCCAGAACAGGAGCACTCTGCTGCTTCTGGGGTGGTTAAGAGGCACATACTTCTGTACCAGTCTTTACAGCAAATTCGTGCAGACAACCTAGACATTGTTTTAGGTTATTAACTAGTATCATCACTTAACAACAGCCATGGCAGGTGCTGAGTGAGAAAAGTTAAATGGCATCTTAATAAAATTTAACTTGTAATTGCTCAAACTGGATCCATTCTTTACATAAATGCATCAGAATATCCTAAACTGGCCTTATTAGTGATTTGTAAATAAATTTGCCCCACATATAACAGAGGAAAAAGAACTTTAAATGAATAGAAAATAAAACTGTAATCTGATGACTAGAAAAGAAAAGGGATTTGGCTTTGAGTGAGCCTGTTGGGCATTTTCTTAGTTAGTGTTTGAGTGGGAGAGCCCACCCCAGTGAGGTGGTGCCACCCTGGGCTGGCAGTTTTAGGTTTTATAAGAAAGTGGTCTGAGTAAGCCTTAAGGAGTAAGCCAGGAAGTAGCACCCCTTCATGGCCTCTGTATCATCTCTTGTCTCCAGGTTCCTGCCTTGACTTCCTTTGTATGATGAACAGTGATGTGGAAGTGGAAGCCAAATAAACCCTTTGCTTTGGGTCTTGGTGTTTCATTACCACAATAGCAACTCTAACTAAGATAGAAACTGGTATCAGTATAGTGAGGTATGGCTGTGACAGACCTGCCCATGTTCTGGAAAGGATTGTACAAGGACTTTGAAACTTTGGGCTAGAAAAGCTATTGAGCATTCAAAGCATGGTGAGCTGTTCTGTGGGAGTTTGGAAGATAAGAATCTTGAGAGAGACACAGAGGAGATCTGGC